TTATACATCAAAATGACTTAAACCAGTAAGGAGATTTGAATGGGATGAAAAAGAAAAAGTTATTATTTGCAGGGAGAAATTAAATTGTAACATGTGATCACCCGCTAAACAAAGTGATTCATTTGTGCCGAGGTAGTGAAAACTTTGTGAATCAACTTACAAAAGGATACATGTAAGAAATGTAGCTCCCATATTTTACCCTTGAGAAATCTATGAGTGTTATTTGGAGGTGAAAGTATTGTTCAATTAATCGAATAAAGCTCGCTCAATTAAGGCCCATCTTGGAAAAGTACCATTTTGCTGTCAAAGATGTCGGAAGGGATGAACCATGGAATGGCAGGAGAGCGATAAAGACCCTATGCGTAGTGGCGAGACGGGGGTTAACCCGGGCTCAGCTGTTCAGGAAATGCCGTATAGAAACCTATGCCCTCAGGTAGCAGACGTGGGGCGACCTGGTGCTAGGCAGGTCTCAGGACATCTGAACCTCAATGCTGAGCAAAGAGCAGAGCAGGAGCAGGAAGTAAATAGGCTACACAACAAGACACACCAGAAAGACATGAATAATCACAGGGAACTAGGAACAGGAGAGAAGTAGAGCACCCTCTAGGTATACTGGGCTGGAAAGTTTGCTATACGAGAACCAAGCTGAACCAGTGTATAAGTGTATGAATCACAGTTTCATGGAGCTTTTTTCAGTTTCGTTCCAGTGATCAGCCAACACAGGAGGCACTTTAGTCCTGCTCGCTATATTGAATTAAGAAATTGTACAACATTCTCCAATTAAAAGTTGTGACCTCACCTAACGTAAAGCAATTCGCTTAGAAGGAAAACACCCACTGTGGATTTTTGTTTTTCATCCTGATTTTGATGTGCACTATGTAGAACTTTGCTGGACTTATGTGCTATTAGTTGTCATTTGGTGTAATTTCTAATCTAGAAGTCAAAGCTGTGCAACTTTTAAAGAGATGGAAGATCTCTTGCGAGACACTGATTCACAGAAGGGAGAAATTAGATCTTTGCCTGAAGTCTCATTATGCTGTTCTATTTCATTTGTCAGTGAGTACAACTCACAGGCACCTAAAATTATTTCAGTGAATGACTTAACAGGCCTCTCGCAAGGACTCGAGAACAGACACAGAGCTTATCATCTCTTCTCCCCGGGAAACATACAGAGATCACATTAGATGTGTCCCTCAAGCTCTTTTTTCTCACATACAGTTAAGGTCTATGCAAGTGCAGATGTCGGTTTTAGTTCTAGATGAAGGCTTGTAGAGGAGTGATTGCGAGAAGCTGCCATAGGACACAGGAGTGATTGTACAGAGCTCACCTGCAGACCTTAATCAGAGACCTGGTTTCCCTGAGTTGGATGGTGTTCAAGTAAGACCTGAAACACAAGACAGAAACACAAGATATTTGATTTTCACATGGAGAGCTTTCACACAGGATTGCTGAGTCAGAGAAGAGAGACAATAACAGACAAGTCACAAAGAAATGGTAATGAGAAGATTTACATCAAAAGGGAAATATTAACAACTGTAGGGGTTTTGTGAATTTACTGGGACAATTTATTAATTGTAGCAGCAATCACGAGGTGGTTCGTTATGGCTTTCAGAAAATCAATCAATCAGCGACACACACACAGGAATTCAATAAAAGGGATACATTTATTAATACATAAATTGTGCATAAAACACTCTGCCTGGATACAGATGGCAGATCTTTATGTGAGGGTTATCAAAGTACAAGGCATATACTCACAAAGAGATGCAAAACAAAAAGAGATACAAAGAATATTCTTCAGTATACCGTTAATCAATCTACATCAGCTAATCAAAAGTAAATACATTACTCATATGAATTGAATTGATAACAACTTGTGTTGAGGTAACAATTGAATTCTCAAGATACAATGTAGAACATTGGGTTTATTTATCCAGATATGGATTTGTATTTCCTGGCACAGGCACCAAAACCAGCTAGCAGCTGCGTCCAATCGCTGCAGCGTTCAATAGGTGTTGTCCCGGCATCTTCTGCCTCCCAACCAACCAGTCAAGGTGCAGCTCGGAGTTGGATGAATTAGGTGGAGAGATTTCTCCATTCCATTCCATTTCTCCCTAGACATTTTAAGCATCGAAGTCTTTAACTAACGTGATACCGAAGTCAAGCATACTTTTAGAATTTGATTAAAAGGGAATATAATATGGAATCGCGTATCTAAAGAAATTAATAACTATATAATTATATTCATGTACCGTAACACAAGAATAGTACACGCTGTACATTGTCTGTTGATAATGTTTCTGTAGTGCTTTTTCAGCACACTGCATGTGACCTTGCTGGTGGCGCTGTGGGTTAGGTTCCTGACTCCCACATCACATGCTGTGTGTTTGAATTCTGCTGGAACCATTACTTTTTTTTTTAACAAACATTTCTTTGAAAAAATAAAACGTTTCCCTGGCTCCATAAGAATCGAGTAATATCGAGTAAAGACATTTACTGTAAAAAATAAATTGAGTAAAGACATTTACTGTAAATCTTTCTACGACCGACCAACGGACCACGAGTGCCCCTGTCGGTCAACCAATCACGTACCGCGGTATTTTTCACGATACAAGGGTTTTCGTAACTCTAGGAGGTTTCATGAAAACGCTGTTGACATGCCAAAATCAGATTCGAACTTTGGGCTAACTTATTATAATATAATAATGCCTCTTTATTAGCCCTATACAATTTCTTGCATTAGGAATTCATCTTTTTACATACCCCAGATTTTCTCCATGGAGACACAGACAGGGAGAAAAGCTTGGGGTCAGAGCACAGGGTGTGCCATTGTATGGCACCCCTGGAGCAGTTAGGGTTAAGGGCCTTGCTCAGGGGCCCAACAGAGTAGGAATCCTCTGTCAGTCACAGGATTTGAACCAGCAACCTTCCAGTCACAGGCACAGATCCTTAGCCACAGAGCCACCGCTCCACCCCAACTTGACCGTGGAGGTGCAAAGTCATGGGGAACAGCTCAATATTTGGAAAGATAATGCCACTTTTTAAGTGTCAAGCTGAACATAAATACGAGGCTTCTGGATGCTTTAGAGATGCGAAGAAAAATGGCAGTTATCGATCTAACCGAATTTCTGAAAATGATTCCACTGAGGTCCAGGATTTCCCACTACAGGTGTTTACCACTTATACAGCATCCCTGGAACAGTTGGGGTTCAGGGCCTTGCTCAGGGGCCCAACAGAGTAGGATTCCTCTGACAGCCATGAGATATGAACCAGTAACCTTCCAGCCACAGGGGCAGATCTTTAGCCACAGAGCCACTGCACCACCTTAAAAACCCTTTTATTTATCAGAAAGGTTTAGGATCACAATCCTTGAAAGGACTGCTTTTACCAGCCAGCAAGAATAAAGCTCACCATACGTAATTGGAGGTATGGTGTTTTTTGAGGTGTGGGCAGTGGGCATTTCACTTTGGATTTTGGTTAAAAAGCTCTATCTCTGTCTCATCTGACCACAGAATCTATACCCACATCATAACTGGGTCAATATCACTCTTTTTGGCAAACTCCAGACATGCTTTCACATGGTTCCTCTTGAGTAATGACATCTTTTGTGCCACAAAGGCCAGTGTTATGCAGAGCTCTTGATATGGTGGACTGGTGCACCTTTACTCTGTTCTCAGCCACTGAACTTTGTAGCTCCTTCAAAGTGATCATTGGCCTCTCTATGGCTTCTCTCACAAGTCTCCTTCTTGTTTGTGCAGAGCGTTTTGAGGGATGACCTTTTTTAGGCAGTGTCTGGGTAGTTTGGTGTAGATACCACTTCCTAATAATTGAACCAACAATGCCCACTGGGACATCCAAACACTTGGATATTGTTTTGTTTTCCTAGATTATGCATTTGTTTTACTTTATCTCTAACTTCTTTGGAATGCTCTTTAGTCTTCATTTTCACAGCTGTCCTTCAGATTAATAACCTGAATAATGATCCCTTAACTGTGGGGTTTTTATCCAGAAAAGTGGCAGTTGTTTTAATGATTCACAGGTAGAGGCCAATTGTAAGGCAATTGTGTCCTCGTTAGGGCAATTGTTTTTCACCTGTGTAAACTTAGAGCTTCCACAACACAGGGATTCAAAACTCTAACAATCGGCATATTTCTGATTTTTAATTTTTTCTTTATTTTTTGACATAAAACCATGTCACATGTTAAAATAATCAAGTTTGAGGTTCAGTGCTTAGAAATAAAGATTTCACAGCAAACTAAATTTCAAAATGTAGGATTTGTAATTCACTAAAAATGAGAGAATTGGTTAAGGGTCTGAGAACCTCTGTAAGGCACTATATATATATAATTGTACATAACATTATTTTAAATAGTGCTTTTAAAAATGACTTTTCAAAGGTCTTTACAGGGGGGGGGAAAAACATTGTTCAGCCCTGAGCTGTGGGATGAGGCCGCTAGAATTGGTAGCACCAGAAATGGCACAGATGCTACCAACCAGTAAAATTCCTGAGGCAGCTTGGCACATCCTCTGATCTTTTCTTTACTGGTTCAGTTTCTCAGCAGCAAGTCGGTGAGCTCTGTGTTTAAATGCTGTGTGTCTTGGGCAGGTATATAATCTTGTGAGCTCTGTGTCTTGAATTGTTGTGTCTCTCCTAGGGCTGTCACTTCTGGTGTATAACCTTTGATCTGAAAGTGCTGTGACTGACTGTGACTGTTGACATCGGTTTCTCTCCTTATAGCCATGTCTCCTTCCAGCACTTATGGTATAATTACCATAAAATGTAGAAAAGATGTTGATGTAATTTTAAGTGTCTTGATTGAAAGCTACAGTGTAGTTGATTGTGATGAGTTCAAATAACGTCCCTGTTGGAATAAAAGAAGGAAGTGTTGCACCTGAACTATTTGCATAGAAGAGACACTTTGCATTGCCAGCACACACTTCAGTGCTCTGGGAGTGTTTATAGCCCTGTGAGTTTAACACTTCATGTCTGAGAGCTGCCCTTCATGGCAACAGAACCCACAGCAACAATGACTTCCATCACCATCTTTACCTGGACACTCCTCATCTGTGCTCAAGGTATCAATGTAAAAATTCATTTTGTGTTTTGTAATGTGTCTTATATGTTTTTAAAATGGTTCAGCATATGAACAGATTTGTGAATTTTATTATTATTCTTTCTGTTACTGTGGGGTAAATAAACTGTTTGGTATAAAATATGAAAAATGTCTTATTTTAAATAATATGAATTTAAATTTTGTCATTTGCAGAATCCATTGGACAGATCACTGTGACTCAGACTCCAGTGCAACCTGCTCAGACAGGAGAAAGAGTCACTATCACTTGTGTGACCAGTCCTGCGCTGTATGGTAACATCAACCTCAACTGGTATCAGCAGACAGCTGGAGAAGCCCCTAAACTCCTGATTTATGGTGCAACTAACCTTCAGACTGGGATCCCAGCTCGTTTCAGTGGCAGTGGATCTGGGACTGACTTCATTCTGACCATCACAGGAGTCCAGGTTGAAGATGCAGCAGATTATTACTGTCAGAGTGTACACTACCCCAACAGTAAATGGGTGTTCACCCAGTGTTACACACCAATATAAAAACCTCCCTCAGCAGGACTGTAAAGAGACTCCACTGCTGTAGCTGGGACCTACAGCAGGTGTGGAGGGTGAAGGCAAAGAAACACAGCCTTTGGAGGAGCTGAGCTGCATACAAAAACAATGAGCTTCTATTACAAGCATATAAAATAACTTAATCGAAAATGACTTCAACTACTTTATAGAGGATCAAGGGTTGTTATGACCAATGTATTTGAATACTATTTTGATAGAATATGGTTGATGCTCGAAGATTATTAATCATACTGTGAGACAGTGAAAAGGATACATTGCATTAAAAACACTTATCATTTAACTATTTCTGAAAATCAGTACAACCTACAGAAATCTGAGACTTAAGCTAATGTATTTCTGAATATCTATTCATGTTCAAAAACTTTCTAATGTAAGCCCAGAAAAGTAAAACAGCAAGGAGAAACAGGCTACTGTAACTAACTACAACCTGGCCACAACCTGGCCACAGAAACCGGGCAACATTGATAGACTTTGCTGCACAGAGAGAACCTGAAACATAGAGAACCACAGACAAAGATGCACTTTCTGCTGCATCACAATACATACTCACGGACTGGACCAATATCCTTTATAAAATAGCCAATCTCTAATACCAGAATTCATACACCTTCCACAATAATATTAGTGCTCAATGCTGTGTGAATAGCAAATTCAATAAATATGGAAGCCCAGTATGTGCTCCCTGTTACACAATGAGGATTTGTTTTTCAAATAATAATGATAATGTAGGCATCCTCTCACGAGGCATCAATAAATGAAGGGGTTTTGTGCATTTAATGGGAGAATTATTAAATGTAGGAAAATGTCACAAAATGATTCTTTGATGGCTATTAGAAGACCAACCTTGCCGGATAACTCAAACAACAGACACGGATACTAATACACGAGAATACATTTATTAATACATAAAATGTTCAGATAAACATAACAGATCTTATCGTGAGGGTATATATTCAATCATGAAGAGTTACAAACCAAGAAGGATATACATTCAGTATATCATTCATTTAGACCGTTTCATGAATGAACTTGGATTACAACTTCTACACTAGATAATCAAAAGCAAATACATCACTCATTAATGTATTAAATTGAATTAAATTGATATCAACTGGTGTTAAGGTAACAATTGAATTCTCAAGCGATAATGCAGAATGTTGAATACTCATCCAATCTGTGTGGATTCAGATCTCCCGCTGACACAAAGAAGCAGTGGCAGGCTTGTTGCTGTGTCCAATCAGTGGTCTCTGGCCCAGTGCCAAGCAGTGCTGTTTCGGTGTGCGACGTGGGAGAAGGAGGAAGAGATTTCTGCTGTGACGCGCTGCTGATGCTCTCTGAAGACCAGCTAGTTAGTGTTGGCTGAAACTAGCAGAGTTTGTTCACATGAGAAAAGTGACTGCGGGTCCAAGCAGGTCACACTCTTTAGGAAGAAGATCGGTTCGTTCCTGATGAAGTGCTATTCCTGAATACTGATATTCAGCTGTCGACAGTTCCGACCGTAGTTCACTTGTTGTTCAGGTAAGCGTTCGCGGTGGGTTCACGAGGCTTGCTGCTGATGTTAACCTTGGGTGGATCCTTTGGTTACGCGCTGGCAACCTCAGTCCTTGACTCTTAGAACAAAGTGAAGTCCTGCACTCGGACACACTGGCCATTACGTGGTGGTCCGAGCTGAGTTGGAGACTTTTTAGGAGGAGCTGAGTCTGAGAAATGTCCAGGAGGCACCCTGAGGAACTCTGTGCTGTCTGTTTTACCTGGAGGAACTATGGTAGTTCATTGGTTGAAAGTTTCATGGGCATTCGAGATCCACGTGGGGTTAACCTGCCCTACCAGTTCCTGATTGGCTGAGGATGAGTAACAATGCCCTCTGACCTTAGGATTGTAAACCTTGGGATGAGACTCTCCCTTGGAATCTCCCAGACCGTAAGGCACCAGAGATGACCATTTATTAGGGTGGCTGATGTGTTTCAGCTTTGGGTGTTGTTCCTTATCAGGACACTCTATCAGCTAGAAAAACACCTTAATTGTGAACCAAATGGAATGGCCTCTCTGTATCAAGCATCACTTGAGATGAAAGAGAGAGGGACTGGCAAGGGAGCAGCAAACTTAATTCCTGTATTTTAATAAGCCTTGCCACTACAATAATAATAATTAGAATAATAATGATTACAGTATGTTTATTTCTAATTGTTCTTGTTTTGGGAACAGTGTAATTCAGTAGTATTTTAGTGTGGATTCTGATACAGGTGTTCATTCATGATCCCACAGATGGCAGCTTTGCACCAAAAAAAGTCCTTTAACTGAAATTTGAATGTTTCTAATGTAAACCCTCGTAAGTCTGTGCTGTAAGACCATGCCATGACTTAGGGTAAGAAAGTGGACAAATCTGGCATTGTTGTGTTGTAAATGAAGGAGAGAAAGTTCTGTCAGCACTTTATGATGAGACTAAACTGGAATAGGACTAAGAGCAGTGTAGCGGCGAGGCTTATTAATAAGGCAGAATTAAGTGTTTCTGAGCTTTCCCAAATTAGGCCTCATCTCTCTGTTCATCTCTGTGGTGCAGCCACAGAGAAACTATTCATGCAGGCTGATTTAAGGTTTCCTTTGATAAGGTTTCCTAGGACAGCTCCCAAAGGGGGATGCACTTAGCTAAGCCTGGCTATCATGATCAATGGTCATCCATTGGCGCCTATCTGTCTAGGGAATGCCAGATGGACATCTGGACTGCATTCCTAAGTGTCAGGAGTAAGTGACTCATATCTCACCTTGATCAACCAATCAGGGACTGGTAGGGCCGAGTAACCCACGTGGGACTCTGATGCCCATGGAACTTTCAGCCAATCAATGAGCTGAAGTTCCTCCAGGTAAAAACAGGCAACACAGAGAGCCTGGGAGATTCAGTAAGATTCAGTGAGAATTCTGGAGAATTCTGTGGACTTTTCTAAAGGGAATTCAAAGGAGAATTCCAGGGCAGGACAGCCCAGGAGCAGAAGGCTCCCAGGGGCAGGACATTCTCGCAGCGCGCCTACTGACCATCCTGAAACTCAGCCCGGACAACCACGGAACGGCAGTGTGTCTGAGTGCCAGAACTTTCCTTTGTTCTAAGAGTCTAGAGCGGAGGTTGCCAGAGAGTAACCAGAGGATCCACCCGAGGTTAGCACCAGCAGCAGGCCTCGTGAACAGGTCGGAACTGTGGACAGCTGGATCACTATTCAGAACTAGCGCTTCATCAGGAACGAATCGGTCATCTTCCTGACCTGCTGGGACCCACAGTCATCTTTTCTCCTGAGCACAACTTTGCTAGTTAAAGCCAACACTAACTAACGAGTCTTCAGAGAACATCAGCAGCGCACCGTCGCAAGCCGCACAGCACAGCCAGGCACCGAGCCAGAGATCGCGGATTGGACAGCAACAGCCTGCAACTGTTTCTTTGTGCTTGCAGGAGATGTGAATCCCCAGAGATTGAATGAGTATTCAACTTCACTGCATTACAGCTCGAGAATTCAATTGTTATCCCAACCAGTTGATATCAATTTAATTTCTAAGAGTTATGTACTTGTTTTGAGTATCTAGTGTAGAAGTTGTAACCAAGTTCACTTACGAAACGGTCTAAATGAATGATATACTGAACATATGTCCTCTTGATATATGTAACTCTTCGTAACTGAGTGAATATATATCTTTTGTATTCTGATAACCCTCACATTAAGATCTGTTAGGTTTACATGCATATTTTATGTATTAATAAATGTAACCTTGTGTATTAGTACCTGTGTGTGTGCGTTGTTTGAGTTATATTGCAAGGTTGGATTTTAAAGCCATTAAAAGAATCATTTTGTGATTTACTGCTACAATTAATAATTGTCCCAGTAAATGCCCAAACCCTACAGAACTGGTGCCTCGTGAGAGCACATTACACTCCGCACACTCCTCTCCATTCCAGCTATGTTGAATATAATAAAGGATAAGTCTATGCTATGCTATGCTTTTTTTATAAATGGTGTCACAACCCTTTGCCTCATTGTAGGTTTTTCTCTATGATTGGTCCCAAGCACTACTCATCAACTCTACAGTCTGACAGTTAATTGTATTGGTTTAAGGGGCGTTGCTTTTTTAAACATTTTTCACTTTTCCCAATGTCTGGCACTGTATGTAAATCTATTGTTCATTAGACACTTACACAGGAGGAGGTAGAGAGTCTGACTCATCAAGGGTTTAGGGTAAACATCAGTTTTAAGAGTTTCTACACTCTGTGTAGAGTGTAATAACGAGTCTCTACAGCTGTGGTGAGATAATGGCTCAACTGATTGTGCCCCTTATAAAACTGCTCTCTGTCTAGTCCTGCTGTCCTGGGAGTGTTCATTCTAAACTGCTCATCTTGCTCTGTTACAACACACAGCACCAAGGCTGTGTTTCCAGCACTGACTGGCTGTGTTTTTAAACCCAGGAAGATCATTTGCATAGAAGACACATTTTGCTTTGGCAGCACATGCTTCAGTGCTCTGGGAGTGTTTATAGCCCTGTGAGTTTAACACTTCATGATTGAGAGCTGCCCTTCATGGCAACAGATCCCACAGCAACAATGACTTTCATCACCATCTTCATCTGGGCACTCATCTGTGCTCAGGGTAGGACCGTAAAACTTCCCATAACCTTGCTTTGCCTTAAAAGTGTTTTTTTTTTTCATTGTTATAAATATAGATTGTTGTCATGATATAAAAATGCAAGTGACACTGAAAATGAATTTGAGAAAGAAAAGAACATTCAAATTATTTTTTACATTGCCTTCTTCTGTTTTTAGAGACCACTGGACAGGTTACTGTGACTCAGACTCCAGTTGTGAAAACTGTTCTCCCAGGACAGACAGTCACCGTGAGCTGTAAAATCAGTCCTGCAGTGAAAAATAACATCCTCTTAGCCTGGTTCAAACAG